AACAATAGTCTATATTATTATATAATAACAGTAAATATTGTATAATTATAATACATATTATTTTATAATAATACATAATAAGAGTATGTATTATTATAAAGACGGGTATTTTGATCTTCCATTGTTGTTATTTCATAATTTGAATATTATTATTACTATTATTATTATTATTATTGCCTTTATTTAATGTAGATATATCCCAGATTCTCTGTTCCAAAGCATAAAATTATGGACCATTTTGAACTACAATGCCCAGAATTCCCATCTATCCAAGGGAATCAGAGTCCAAAAAATGTCTTTTTCCGCATTAATAAAAGGTAAAGGTTTTCCCCTGACATTAAGTCCAGTCGTGTCCAGCTCTGGGGTGTGGTGCTCTTCTCCATTTCAAAGCTGAAGAGCCGGCGTTGTCCGTAGACACCTCCTAGGTCATGTGGTCGGCATGACTGCATTAGATTATACTTATTTTGCAACGGGCCATAGAACCAAGACCAAGGAAGCAGGTTCAAATCTCCCCTTTGCTCTTAAATCCAAATAGAAACTATATTATTGCACTACTGGGATTAAACCAGTTTTCCTGGTCATTAGATGGATTACCAAGATAACTCCCAAAACTCACTAACTAGAGGCCAAGACTAATAATCTTACAGCAGTTGCTTGTGTTTTGGTTGGAAAAGAGCACTCGCATCGTTCAGCTTCCAACCTCTCCAGCTCCAAAACAAAGGCTCATATTAGAGTATTATTTTAAGCACAGTTGAAGACCTTATTGAACTACAACTCCCAAAAATTCCAGGACCTGAAAGACTTGTATCACTTTATGAAGCCCTTTAGAAATCAAATAGACATCCTCTATTTACATTCCTACTCCTACAGCATTCCAAATATGCATTGTTTCCAAACATTATCATTCGAAGAAGGTGAAAGAGATCAGATATCTCCGAAAGCTCATGCAAAGATAAAACCAGTTAGTCTTAAAGGTGCGGCTGCATTCCTTTCCTCCCTTTAAAAAAAGGAAATTATAGTTTTCTGGGTGTCTGGCATCAGCCAATGCCTAATAATAATTATCTGCTATACACATAATAAAAGTGAAGAATGTGTCCAGAGGAGGGCGACTAAAATGATCAAGGGTCTGGAGAACAAGCCCTATGAGGAGCGGCTTAAGGAGCTGGTCATGTTTAGCCTGAAGAAGAGAAGGCTGAGAGGAGATATGATAGCCATGTATAAATATGTGAGAGGAAGCCACAGGGAGGAGGGAGCAAGCTTGTTTTCTGCTTCCTTGGAGACTAGGACGCGGAGCAATGGCTTCAAACTACAAGAGAGGAGATTCCATCTGAACATGAGGAAGAACTTCCTGACTGTGAGAGCCGTTCAGCAGTGGAACTCTCTGCCCCGGAGTGTGGTGGAGGCTCCTTCTTTGGAAGCTTTTAAACAGAGTCTGGATGGCCATCTGTCAGGGGTGATTTGAATGCAATATTCCTGCTTCTTGGCAGGAATGGGGTTGGACTGGATGGCCCACGAGGTCTCTTCCAACTCTTGATTCTATGATTCTAATAAAGAGGCTCATCTTTGGAGGCTTTTAAGCAGAGGGTGGATGGCCATCTGTTGGGGGTGCTTTGAATGCAATTTCCCTGCTTCTTTGCAGAATGGGGCTGGACTGGATGGTCCACGAGGTCTCTTCCGACACTAGGATTCTCTTATAATATGTATGTGTGTATGTGGCTGGCACACAGAGAACTTCCTGCTTCTACAAACAGCCATAGCTCCCACCACTCAGGAGACACCAATAACATTGCAGGTTATGGTGAACACTATGAACATGTCCAAAAGCCCTGCCAACATCTTCCACAAACACCATACTGTCCATCACTCAAGTTGAGGCTTTCATGGAGGACAATTTCACCCTAGATTTTATGTTTTTCCTCCACCACAGACATCCCAGTGTTTCTGACTCTCTCCATTGGTGTGGAATTTGCATGTCCCCGCCCACTGCCTCTCCCTTAAGCCTTTTCTAAGGCACACAGCAAACAGAGGAATTGATCAACAACTGAACATACTTGAGAGGTTTGGTGAGATTTCACCAGGATGTGTAGGAGTTCTAGGTACTGGGATGTATAGTTCACTCGCAATCTAAGAGCACTCTGAACTCCACCAACGATGAACCTGGAACTAACTTGACACACAGAACTCCCATAATCAACAAAGAAACCTTTGGAGGGATTTAAAGGAGTTGTAGTTCACCTGCATCCAGAGCACGCTATGAACCCAAACAATAATAGATGTGGACCAAACTTGGCATGCACACCCGATATGCCCAAATTTGAATACTGGTGGGTTTGGGATGGAATTGGCTTGGACATTTTTTAGTTGTAGGTACTGGGATTTATAGTTCACCTGCAATCAAAACACACTCTGAACTCTACCAAAGATGGAATTGGACCAAACTTGGCAGACAGAACGCCCGTAACCAACAAAAAAATACTGGTGGTGTTTGGAGGGATTTACTGGAGTTGTAGTTCACCTACACCCAGAGAGCAATGTAAACCCAAATACTAATGGATCTGGACCAAACTAGGCACACATACCTGACATATTGAAATTTGATTAATGGAAGGGTTTGGGGGGAACTGACCTTCCTTTCTGGGAATTGTAGTTCACCAACAACCAAGGAAACTGTGACCTCCACCGATGGTGGATCTGGACCAAACTTGGCACACAAAACCTCCATGACTACTGGAGGGGTTTGAGGGGACTGACTCACCATAGTGGGAGTTGTAGTTCACCCTACAGCCAGAGAGCACACTGAACCCCACAGATGATGCATCTAGAGCAAACTTGCCCAACATAACAAACTTTAAGTACTGATGGAGTTTCTCAGGGTTTAACCTGGCATGATGTGACTTGTAGTTCACCCACAACGTTATGCATTTTGTACAATGAAAAAAACTGACTTTTTCAAATAACCCGGGCAACGCCACATACCCAAGCTAATAATAATAATAATAATAATAATAATAATAATAATAATAAGTCCTGTTACATATGACATATTGACTGGCCCTTAATGGGATCAAGTGAGTTCAAGTTCACTAAAACATAAGCTGCATTAAAATGTTTAAAAGGCCACAAAATCTTTCTGGAAATAATAATAATAATAATAATAATAATAATAATAATAATAATAATAATAATAATAATCCATCCAAGAACCATTCTATTTAGGCCAAGGAAGAAAATTTATATTTAGGAATCACTCATGCAAAAGCCAACATGGGTTTCAATTAAGAGAGAAAATAGGGGTAGAATATAATAACAAGAAAAATAATACACCCTCTATTAAAATATTAAAAAGTACCATTCAGTTTAGTCTAAAGGGGGGAAAAAGTCCCAGTCTATATTTAGGCATCATTCATACGGAGGTAAACATGGATCTCGATTAAGAGAAAATTGGGAGTATAATCATAGCATTAATAATGACAACAACACATCACACACCACATGACAATACTAAAAAATCCAAAGAGGGAATAAGACCTCCTACAATTAGGAAATACGTATTCCTATTGAGCCATGCTTCTTTGCACAGAGATATCACAATGCAAAAAGAAATCGTATGTAAACAATGAATGGCCCACCATCAATGCAATGATCCCGCGATATGATAATCCAAACGTTCCCAAAATCCCTACTCATTGGCCAAAAAGGCTGAGGCTTCTGGGAGTTGGAGTCTGAAACATGGGGAAGACAAGAGTTTGAGAATCACGGCAATAACCAGCCAGTCCAATAACCCTCCAATGCAACGACGAGTCAATGCAATATCCCTCAAATTCAATGACCGGGCAATGTAATAACCCTCCAATGGAATGACCCTCCAATTCAATGATCCACCAATGCAATATCTCTCCAATGCAATGATCAGCCAATGCAATAACCAATCAATGGAATAATTCACCAATGCAATATCCCTCCAATGCAAAGACCAACCAATTAATAACCGTGCAATGCAAAATCTGCCAATGCAATAACCAAGCAATGCAATAATTCGCCAATGCAATATCCCTCCAATGCAATGACCAGCCAATGTTATAAACCTCCAATGCAAAATCTGCCAATGCAATAACCAACCAATGCAATATCCCTCCAATGCAATGACCGGCCAGTGTAATAACCCTCCAATGCAATAACCAACCAATGCAATATCCCACCAATGCAATGACCGGTCAGTGTAATAATCCTCCAATGCAAAATCTGCCAATGCAATAACCAACCAATGCAATGACCGGCCAGTGTAACAATCCTCCAATGCAAAATGTGCCAATGCAATAACCAACCAGTGCAATGATTCGCTAATGCAATATCCCTCCAATGCAATGACTGGTCAGTATAATAACCCTCCAATGCAAAATCTGTCAATGCAATATTTCTCCAATGCAATGATTGGCCAATGCAATATTGCTCCAATGCAATGACCGGCTAATATAATAACCCTCCAATGCAAAATCTGCCAATYCAATAACCAAGCAATGCAATAATTCGCCAATGCAATATCCCTCCAATGCAATGACCGGCCAGTATAATAACCCTCCAATGCAAAATCTGTCAATGCAATGAACGGCCAATGTAATAACCCTTCAATGCAAAATCTGCCAACGCAATAACCAAGCAATGCAATAATCTGCCWATGCAATAACCCCTCAATGCAATGACTCTCCAAGGCAATGATCCGCCAATGCATTAACCCTTCAATGTAATGACCGGCCAATGCAATGATCCACCAATGCAACATCCCTCCAATGCAATGACCAGCCATTGCAATATTTCCCCAATTCATTGACCCACCAATGTAACAACCCCCCAATGCAATGACTGGCCAACACAATAACCCTCCAATGCAATGACCCTGATCCACCAGTGCAATCGTCTAACCATATGATAATTCAAGGCTCTTACCTTTCTCTTCCACCAATTTTTTACCCCAAATCCTGCAAATTAAAGGGAAAGGATACATTTTGACAGCCCCTGATTTGGTCCCAATGGCCATGATGCACAGCTTGGGGTCGAAGGCCAAGGAGCTGGGCTGGTTGGGGAAGCCATGCTCCACCGTCTGCACAGAGAGAAGAGAAAACATGAGTCAACACAACTGCTGTGTGTACTTTGGTTCCAAAATGGAAATAAAAAATAAATAATTAATAAGGATAAATATTATTAATACTACTAATAATAACAACAAATTTATTTACTTATTTATTTATACTGCACTTTTCTCTCTCAACTCAGACTCGAAGGTTCCTTTGGGTTTCTAACCTATGGCAACTCTATCATACGGTCTGCCATTGACTTCCTTTTGAGGCTGAGAAAGTATGTCTTGCCCCAATGGGTTTCGATGGCAAAGTGAGGATTCGAACCCAGGTCTCACGACTCTTTTGTTTTGCTCCAAAGAGAGAGAGAATATGGGGGGTGGGGGGGGGGGTGGGATATGGAGTCCAGAAGTTTGGAAACTCTGCCCCTGTTGCTAGTATAACTTTGGAAGAACAGTTTCTGCAGAGTAGCTCTGCCAACCCAGGAATATGCAGACCACTCTTCCATTCTCGTTTTGCTTTGAAATGTAAACAAAGTCATAGAATTTATTTCAATCTTTGAGAATTGAAAGGATTTCCATCTGAAGCAGATCCCTCCTTTGGAAGGATCCTGAAGTTATTTTCTCCAATATTGGATGCTAAGCAGGGCCAGCTTTGGTTGGGACTTGGATGAGAGACTGTCAGCCAACACTATGAATCAAAAGCATGGATTTCTTATGAACCTTTTGAACTGCATAAAAAGGGTTAAGGTAGATGAACCGGAGTGTCCAATCCAACTCCATGATTCGAAGCTTGGATTTCATATAAAGCTTTTGAATTGCATGAAAAGGGGCTGGAATAGATGACCCTTGGGGGTCCCACCCAGGTCTATGACTCTAAGCTTGGCTTGCTTGTGTAGCTTTTGAACTGGTTGGACTGATGACCCTTGGGATTCCATCCAACTCTATGACTCCAAGCTTGGATTTCTTATATAGCTTTTGAACTGCGTGGAAAGGAGTTGGACTAGATGACCCTTGGGGGTCCCACCCAGCTCTATGACTACAAGCTTGGATTTCTTATATAGCTTTTTAACTGTGTGGAAAGGGATGGACTAGATGACCCTTGTGGGTCCCATCCAACTCTATGACTCTCAGCTTGGATTTCCTATGAAGCTTTTGAACTGTGTGGAAAGGGGTTGGACTAGATGACCCTTTGGGGTCCCAACTAAGCTTGGATTTCTTATGTAGCTTTTGAACTGAATGGAAAGGGGGTGGACTAGATGACCCTTGGGGGTCCCATCCAACTCTTATGACTCCAAGCTTGGATTTCTTATGAAGCTTTTGAACTGCATGGAAAGGGGTTGGACTATTTGACCCTTGGAGGTCCCACCCAACTCTATGGTTCTAAGCTTGGATTTCTTGTGTAGCTTTTGAAATGGTTGGACTGATGACCCTTGGGATTCCATCCAACTCTGACTCAGCTTGGATTTCTTATGAAGCTTTTGAACTGCGTGGAAAAGGGTTGGACTAGATGACCCTTGGGGGTCCCACCCAACACTTTGACTCCAAGCTTGGATTTCTTATGAAGCTTTTGAACCGCTTAGAAAGGGGGTGGACTAGATCACCCTTGGGGCTCCTACCCACTTCTATGACTCCAAACTTGGAAAGGGATTGGACTATTTGACCCTTGGGGGTCCCACCCACCTCTATGACTCCAAGCTTGGATTTCTTATGAAGTTTTTGGACTGCTTGGAAAGGGGTTGGACTAGATGACCCTTGGGGATCCCACCCAACTAAACTTGGATTTCTTATGAAGCTTTTGAACTGCGTGGAAAGGGGTTGGAGTAGATGACCCTTGGGGGGTCCCACCCAACACTATGACTCCAAGCTTGGATTCCTTATGAAGCTTTTGAACTGTGTGGAAAGGCATTGGACTAGATGACCCTTGGGGGTCTCACCCAAGTCTATGATTCTAAGCTTGGATTCCTTATGAAGCTTTTGAACTGCTTGGAAAGGGGTCAGACTAGATGACCCTTGGAGGTCCCACCCAGCTCTTGGATTCCTTATGTAGCTTTGGTGGTCTTCCCTCTTGAGCCAACTCAACCCACACAAGCTCTCTTCCCACTTCGGAGCACCAGGGATTTCTTTTCTTAATCAAGGAGGATTTTAAAAGACTGGGTCAAAAGAAAGAAAGAAAGAAAGAAAGAAAGAAAGAAAGAAAGAAAGAAAGAAAGAAAGAAAGAAAGAAAGAAAGAAAGAGCCCTCCTCCACTAACTAGCTTTGGCCAAATGAAGCTTTTCAGCCAATTCCAATTGTGCTCAGAGCCAGCTGAGAAAGAAAGCAGGAAACCAGTGTGTGTGAGAGAGAGAGAGTGAGTGTGTGTGTGTGTGTGTGTGTGTATATATATATATTCATTCTCAAAGGCAGATAGTTTCCAGATTCTGCTTCAATTCCAACCCACCCACGGAAGACCACCCAAAAAGGGACACCCAAGGGTGGAGTGGCCTCCCTGACATCTGCACCTGCAGAGACTGAAGTCCAGTCCAGAAAAACTCCACTTAAATGCAAATTAATTGCAGAAGACTCTCAATGAACTCTCAAGGAAATTGGTCGATGCCACATATTATTATTAATAATAATATTAATAGGACCATTATTTTTATTATCAAATTATCAAGATCTCCTTGGGCTCAATGGGCAGAGAAAGCAAAAGACCTTGGAAAACTACAACTCCCAGGGATCCATACTGCAGAGAGAGACTGGTAATAGATTTATTATTATTCAAGCACAATCTGCATTGAATGCCATGCCTTGGAAATGCATTTCTGTGCAGAATTTGTGTCTGCATTTTTTTTTAAAAAAAAAACCCATAATGCAGAAGATCAGAGCAATGCACACATTTTTCTGCAGCTGGAAGCATCCCAAACTGCTGATGCAATTTTTTAAATTTTATTTTCAAAGAAGAAAATGTTTTGAACTTTGGCAGCAAAATGTTTTGTTTAGTTTGGAAAGGGTTGTTAAACAGAACAGAGTCCCTTTTCCATCCGTTGGCTTTCTTTCCACCTTTTCTGATTTCGGGATTGGGTTTTGCAGGGTTTACATTCCCGGACTTTGTGCGGATAACCGGATCCTATGCAAGTGAAGGGATTCGAGCTCAAAAAAATACCATCAAATCAGAAGGAAGGACCTAGAAAGTGCGTAGAGGGGACCTAGATATGGTCGAATGTGGGAAACCAAAACTGGGGATCATAGAAAAACCTCCTGAAATGAGGGACTTCTGGCCAAATACTACCATAAGAGTGGCAGTGGAGGACTTAGGAAATGCATTCCCAAATCAGAATGCAAATCAGGGATCGGGATATATATATATATATATATATATATATATATATATATGCATGCACACACACACATATACATATATGAGAGAGAGAGAAACTGGCCATATACATAGTCTATACATAAACTATAGAGAGACTACATAAATATACCATATACATTATTTATATTTATATATATATATATATATATATGATTATATATAGTCAATATATACACTATATACATTATATATAATATACTATAGAGACTGATTATATATAGTCAATATATACACACACTACATATTGACTATAGAGACTGACAACATATATACAAGCATTACTTATACAGACTATGTAACTATATATATACATAGAGACTATATATATATACACACACACTAGAGACTATAGACTATGCACACACACTATATATATAGGCACACACATTATAGAGGGCAAGAGACTATATATAGATTATATATAATAGACTATAAAGAGAGACTATAGACTATGTACACATTATATATATATATGGTGTGTATATACATATATATACACACACACTAGAGACTATAGACTATGTACACACACTATATATATATAGACACACACATTATAGAAGGCAAGAGACTATATATAGATTATATATGACAGACTATAGAGAGAGACTATAGACTATGTACACATTATATATATACGGTGTATATACATACACACACACACACAAATATATCATCTACACACACACACACACACACACACACGATAGAGAGGGCAAGAGACTATATATAGATTATATATAATAGACTATAGAGAGGTCATAGACTATGTACACACACACACATATATACACACACACACAATAGAGAGGGCAACAGACTATATATAACTATATATATATATAGAGAGAGAGAGAGAGAGATTATATATAATAGACTATAGAGAGGTTATAGACTATGTACTCACACATATATATACACACACATGATAGAGAGGGCAAGAGACTATATATAGGTTATATATAATAGACTATAGAGAGAGACTATAGACTATGTACACATTATATATATACGGTATGTGTGTATATATATATATATATATATATACACACACACACACACAAATATATCATCTATATACACACATGACAGGGAGGACAAGAGACTATATATAGATTATATATAATAGACTATAGAGGTTATAGACTATGTACACACACACATATATATATACACACACACATGATAGAGAGGGCAAGAGACTATATATAACTATATAGATATATATAGAGAGAGATTATATATAATAGACTATAGAGAGGTTATAGACTATGTACTCACACATATATATACACACACACGATAGAGAGGGCAAGAGACTATATATAACTATATATATAGATTATATATAATAGACTGTAGAGAAAAACTATAGCCTATGTTCATAGACTGTAGAGAAAAACTATGTTCACACACACACATTATAGAGAGGGCAAGAGACTATATAGACTATACATAAAGATTATATATAATAGACTATAGAGAGACTATGGACTATATAGACACACTAATATACACACATACATGAGAGGGCAAGAGATGATATAAACTATATAGATAGATTATATATTTCTTCAATTTCTCTTTTGCATCCTGATTTGGGAATATATATAATTGGAAGATTCTTGCAACCCCAAATCAGGGTGCTAAAGTGGGATTGGGAGCA